TTCATTTCCGCACTTTACCTTCTTTTTTATTTTTTGCCAAGCCTTAACCGATTCCTTTTCTTTCTTCGTTTTCTTTTTTCTTTTTGTTTTTCTCATTCCTTAGGAGTTTCTCCAAATCGTAATAAAGTGATATTGTGTAATGTTATGTAATATATCACACAATCGGATTGAGTCATTTGGTAAAAGGATTTGTTAAATGTAGAGCATAGATTTGCTTTCTCTCTCTCTCTCTCTCTCTCTCTCTCTCTCTCTCTCTCTCTCTTCGTCTGATAAATAATTACGAGCGATTTTGCTTTAACGAATCTCAGGACGAAGTGGTTTCTCGTAACAATGCAAAACGATTGGACGCTTTCTTCCACAGAACCGATAAATCTTCCGTAGCGACAAAAAGCAAGATAGATAGAGGTAGAAAGATAAAGAGAAAGAGAAAGAGAGGGAGAAAGAGAAAGCATCGTTCGATTTAGAAACATTCTTTTAACGGAGAATCGAGATCGTAGGATCGATTGGTACCTCCTTATCTCGCGTTTTATCGAGAAATCGTAGGAAACGAAACAGAGTAAAATCCGTAGGAAATCAGAGCGGTAACTCGAAATCTATGTCTCTTTTTCTCTGTGTATATATACTCTTATATATATATATATATAAGTGTGGGTCATCATCGAAAGTAAGAACGAAAGGAAGAGAACGATTACGCGAAAAAGGACGTTGATAATCCTGTGCCACGGTACTAAGGATTTCATGGTCGTGAAATCGAAGAAGATCTCGATTCTTCGTGTTTCTACTATGTACACATACACTCATACACACATACACACTAATATATATGTATATAGATATATGGAGGTATATATATATGTATGTACATTCATATATCGATCCGGGGGTCGATAGGATAAATCGAGCGTACGCCGTGCACAAATCCAATTTTACGAGGTTCGATCCCAAGGGTGGCGGTACTGGTGGTGTGCAGTAGGGTGACTAGAGGGTTGGACATACATACATGGGAAAGAGGGATAGTGGTGCATCAGGACGTCGAACGATGTTACGCGATGCGCCGGCATGACGGGGCTCGAATTCCGGAGGGAAACGCGAGCTTTTGCCCGACTTACCCGTTTGCCCTTCTATCCTCATCCTCCTCATCCTCCTCATTCTTCCCTTCCTCTTCCTTTACCATCCTCTTTCCTTTTCTGTCGTCGAGATGATGGTGGCGGCGGTGGTTATGGTGGTGGTGGTGGTTGTGCTGATGTCGAAGGGCGAGCTCGAGAGATACGCTTCGAGGCACGAGACTCACAGCCGAATTTCCTCGCTGGACTTTGCTATAACCGTCACCACCCTCTTCAACTCTTACCCCCTGACACCAAACGCACACATACCATCAACCCCGTCTTCCATCCCTTATTCCGTAACGGAGAATGTTTCGGAAACATCGTGCCACAAGACCCTTTCATCGATATCTCACGACCCGTTAAAATGGCCCCGGAGAAAATCTAGCTGCTGGCCTTCTTGCTATATCTTTCTCTTTTTCATTTCTTGGATCTCATGTTTTTTTGAAGTGAAAACTTCTTTAGAATGGGAGTGATTTGAAAAAAAATGAAATGTTACCAGTTGTTACCAAATGTTACCAAAATGTTACCAAATGTTATGTTACCAGAAGAAGAGGCAAACAATTGAGGGCTAAAAAGGCAGGAAAAATCGTTCACGAGGCTCTTTCACGAGACTCGTTCACGACGCTCCTTCAGGAGGTTCGTTCACGACGCTCGTTCACGACGACGCTCGAGACACGGGACACAGGACACAGGACACAGGACACGAGACACGAGAAACGAGACATGAGACACAAGACACGACACCACACGTGTGTGAATTTTGTGTGCGTGTGTGTATGTTTGTGTGTGAATTATTTCCCTCGATAAGCATCCTACGATTTTGGTGTCTATCTATGACTATCGCATTTATCATTCAATTTTTAATGCTTGAATTTGGAAAAGTGTACTTTTAATTAGCTATTCTACCCGGTGACCTTTATTGCATATGGTAATAATATTATAATAAATAAATCCTACAATGATCTTATACTCTTGAAACTGTGCATTCTTCTTAGTCTCTCGACATTTAATTTTTTGAAGGTTTCACTTCTAACACGTGTGATCTGCACACATAATATTTTGTCTTATCATTATTTTTTTCATAAACTTTATTCAAAACTTATAAACACGTATTATTCTTCTTCCTTCTCTCTCACTTGGCATTTCGTTTTTGCAATATTTTCCAATCTCTTTTACGATTTTATTCAAACACTGTATCTTAATTTTTATTTTATATTTTCTTGTATCTTTTTTGAAACTTGGTAGCTTCGAAACGGACCATCGATGGTAACGGAAAAGGCGTATCGATTCGTTCATCGAAGTAGCCAAAGTTACGAAGCAATTTACAAAAGTGCTTCTAAAGAACGAGAAAGAGATAGAAAGAAATAGAGAGAGAGAGAGAGGAGAAAGAGAGACATGCAAAATTGCGCGTACACAAATGCGTTTTTCTTTTTTAGTTTTGTTTTTTTTTCTTGAAAGGAAAATGTCGAGACTTTAAATCAACGTTCGATGTACGATTTGGAATATTTTTGGCGAAAAGTTCTCATTTTTCGAATGCTAAACTCGCTTAACACGATCTTATTCGTTTTATAACCGAAAATAAGAAGAGGAAAGAAGGAAGTTCAACAACCCTACGAAAAATATATTATCGCAAATCTCGAAGCGTAACTACCACTCTTCCATCTTTTAATTCCATCGTAAGCGCATAGTTCGTCTCCGAGAAGCATTGACCTCGAGGAAGAAGGTACCTATACCAACCCTCGATGTTGGACTTCGGGGGTAGGTGTTCGAAGAAGAGTAGGAAGGAAGGAAGAATGGGGAATTGGGGGTGAGAGAGAGGTAGGGGGGGGGGGCGTGGCCACAAAGTCGTGGGATTTCGCAAAGATTCCAAGGAGATGAGAGAGGAGAAGAACGACCCTGGTGGTAAGGGAAGAGCGATAAGAAGCGAAACCAAGTTCTTGGGGTAGAAAAATAATAAAAAAAAAAATATTCCGACCAAAGAGGTGGACAATAGAGGTGATAATGAACTGCCTGAAACTAATAAAAGATGACAATATTAAATCATTTTCATCGGAGTATATCAATGTCTTCTGGAATTATTGACGTATTTTAAAAGGAAAACATTCATTGTATCACTTTTTTAATAATAATAAAATTTACGCGATCGTTTTGTCAATTCGAGTTCGGTGTGATTATTAGGAAAAGAATTTAAAGGAAGAAATAATAATAAGAAAGGGCACACAGTATAATACGATAAAAGCATTTTAGGAAATGTCAGTCAGTTGGGTAAAAAAATAAGAAAGATCATAAAGTAAATAGCATTTGAAAAAGTAGAAATTGTAGCAGAAAAGAAAGAAAGTGAGAGAGAGAGAGAGAGAGAGAGAGAGAGAGAGAGAGAGAGAGAGAGGTGGGACTCGTAAAAAGTTCAATGTATTTTCTTCGTGAAAATTCTAAACTCTCTCGCTCGCTCGCGTTTGAGGGCTTTCATTTGTTAGATACACCACGTAGTGCTGTTTCAGCCAGAGAAATCAGACAGAATAGAGACGAAAAAGAAGAAGAAAAAGAAGAAGAAAAAGAAGGAAAAGAAGAAGAAGAAGAAGAAGAAAATGGGAATAAAATCGGAAATGGAGGGCGGTAACGCCAATGAAACTTATCGTTGAAAGAGAACGTAATATGTATGTAAGTAAATAGTATCTACCGTGAACGAGAGAGGTGGTGGATGATAGTAAGGAGTAGAAGGGTAGTTTTAGAAAAGATATAACTCGTGGGACGAAGATGGCAAGTTTAAAATCGTACTTGAGATCGAGGATCGAGGACGAATTGCAGTTGAACCGAAGAGACCCTGGAAAAGGGTGCCGAAGGTGCCAGAGATGTCTCGGGGTGGGGCAAACTGTCTACTACGACTACTACTACTCCCCATGGCTCTCTTTCTCTCTCTCTGCTTGGACGGACAAGCGAGTTTCAAGAGAGTAGTAGCTTCTCGTGCGTGTCTCTCGTCAGTAACAGTGTGTGTGCGTCGATGTTCCTGTAGTTGTGTGGCGATGCGCGAGTGCTTCGGTGACGAGCGCAGATCGATGGAAGTATTCGAGTTTTCTTCCCTTTCGAAAATTAATACTTCTTATGAGTAATTCGATTTTTCAATAATAAATTAGGTACATGATTTTTATCGTTTTGATTTTACAAACGATTAATTTAATAATTCGATCGATATAATAATATGAGAGAAAATATTTGAAGATAACAGTATATAGATGAAAGAATTTGTTTTGTTCGTGCTCGATTCGAAGCTTTCTCTACCTAGCTCGCAGTCTTTTCGCGTATATAACACGAGTGCGCGAGTGAATAAGAGAACGAGGAATTTGAGAGTGAGAGAGAGGGAAGTAGAGTAGTTGAGCGCGTTAGTATACGTTGGTGCAGCATGGGGGCGTGTCGATCGTCGGTGGCGTGGCGCCACCGAGTTTCAGTTTTTCGACGCGCCGCTGAGAGACGTCGCTGGTGCGGCTCGAGCGCGTACCGAACGACAGTTTGCCCTCCGTGTCACGGCTAGGAGGACGTGTTTTTCAATTTGTCGTTCGTCTCGTTCGTATCGTTCATTTTATATCTGTATATCGCGTTCATCCTCACCTATTATTTTATATCGTGTGTATTTTTTTGTTTTTGATATTTTCCTTACCGATCGTCCTACATCTCTTCCTCATTTTCTCACTCTCCTTGGTTTTTCTTTTAATTTTATTTAACAAGTGCGTATAATCTATTTCTTTATTGTTTTTTTTCGTTTTGTTTATATAGATTAAAATTAAATAATATTTCCTTATAATTAAAAAGCGACGTTATATAAATAATAATTATTTCAAGTGATTGTCGAAGTGAAAAAATTCATTGAGATAAATAAAATAGAAAACGACGAAGCAGAATAGAAAAAGAAAAATAAAAAGAACGAGGAGTAGGAGGAGAAGAAGAAGAAGAAGAAAGAGGAGGAGGAGGAGATTTCATTCAGTAAGTAGTAATGGAGTGGACGTAAACATATATGCGTTTTCGTCGCTACGTAATATTGAGAAGAAAACGACGGATATTATCATCTCAGTGGATTGGAAGAAGCTGAAAATTTTGTTGGTCGCGCGACAAGGAATGCTCGCGCGCAAATACGAGCTAGTTTCGAAAGAAGAAGCAGAAGAAGAAGAAAAAGAAGTAGTAATAGTAATAGTAATAGTAATAGTAGTGGCGGTGATAGTAGTGGTGGAAAAGTTACAGCATCAGTTCGAACATCGACTAAAATATCAACACCAGCAGCACCTGCATCATCATCGTCTGCAGCAACAACAACAGTATCAGCACCAGCTCCAGCAGCATCAATATCAGCTGGTGTTAGAAGTTGTAAATAGGCAAAAGGAAGGCGTCGCGACGCGATGATCATATCGGCCGTCGGCGTCGCGAGGCGCGATACCATGGAGGAGAAGAGGTGTGCCATGCTGACGACGACGACGACGACGACGATGATGACAACGACGACTACGACGACTACGACTACGACAATGACGACAAGGAGGACAGAATTCAACGACCAATCCTCCTCTTTAATATCTTCTTCTACTTCATTTTACAAAGATAATGATCGACGATTATTTCATAACGATACTTTGAAAATGATGAATGGTGATGATGTGCACGACGAGATCGTTAGTGAAACTCCGTTCGTTGATGTGGATAATAATATTTCTTCTAATGCCAATGATAATGCTAATTCTATTATTACTTCGATTGGCTTGAACGGGAACAGTGACGTCATCGAGCACATCGCAACACCTGTCATTCCGGTGAGTTTTAATTGCTCTTATTTTTCTTTTTAAATGTATTTCAATTTTTTATTTTTTATTAACAACTTAATACTGTTATTACTATCTGTATATTTATTATGTATTTATAAACTTACTTTTACTTACTTACTTACTTACTCTCTCTTACTTACTTATTAGTTACTTTCAACAATTGATTCGCATAAATCGATACTAATAACACGATCGTCAATAATTTCTTTTTATATTTCTCGACATTTCTCGAAAACGACCAACAAGTTAGTTTTAATAGTTTACGACATTTCTTGATTGCTTACAATAGTAACGTGACACTTATCAAAACGTTTCCCTGTTAATACTTTTCACTTACAGTTCTATCGAACAACATTATTACGAGAGTTACAACTGAACGTTTATAATTTATTTTCTTTTTCTTTTTACTTCTAACGATTCTTGCAATCGTTTTATTTCCATTTGTAAATAAATAATTTAGAACAAAAAATAGAGAGGGAGAAAGAGAATGAGACAGGCCAAATCTTTCAACAATATTTTCTCGTTTAATTGTAAGAGAAAGAATTTAATCGATTATCGATCGAAACCAACATCTCCCGAGTGTATCTCTAGATTTCTCTTATTTTTTTTTTTAAATATAGTTTGAAAATCTTTAAAAGATATTATTTTTTATTCTTTCTAACGTGTTTTTTTTTTGGTTCACGTTGATTTCTCTACTTATCATCTATCTTCGTCTCCCGCCTTTTCCTTTTGAACGATTTGTTTTGAACATCGCTTAAATGTGCTTCCCTCTTTCTTTCTTTCTTTTTCTTTTTCTTTTCTTTTCTTTCTTACTTTCGTTCTCTTTCTCATTCCAATAATTTTCCCAAGGTACCAACGGGATTTATCCCGAATTTATCCGTAATTTTACGAATGATTTTTTCACTAAACATTTTTATTATTTTACTTATATTTGCGTATATTTCAAAATTGGAGAAGGAAATAAGAAATATACATAAAGAGAGAGAGAGAGAGATGGATTGAAAAGTTTGGAGACTACGTCGGGAAAGAAAAAAAAAAAATACAATGAGTTTGATCGAAACAAAAAATTGTTTTTATGTTAGATTCAAAACTTTTCAATCCATCCACTGGTCCAATTTATTTTACCACGTAGAAAAATTTCTAAAATTTGCCGAATAAATGATAGAAATAAATTGCTAGTAATTTATTTTTTATAACAAAATGACAAAAAAAAATTAATCGATTTGATTAGAAATAATAAATTTACGATAATTTGAAATATAAAATTTACTAAATACTTTGAAAATATTTCAATCTTACGTTAGCTTTCATTCCAATAGTCAATTCTTGTTAATTGATGATAAAATCAAATTAAATGTAATTATGAATTTTTAGTTTTATAATACAAATAATCGATTTCCTATATGAATATTAAGAAAAAATAGATAGGGTATTAATTTAGGCTAATTTTCAATTATTTCGTAAAATTATAAAATAATTTTGATCTGTAGTGTATAAAAAAAAGCCACTAAGTTTATAAACATAATAGACCTTTTACCTTACTTAAATTTATATTATGTCGTATTTTCCGTTTCTTGATCGGTAAGGTTTCTTTTCTTCCTAAGGCCACGGTAAACATTCTCTTTCGTTCCCGCCACTGGATTCCGTTCTTTTTCTCTTTCTCTCTCTCTCTCTTTTTCTCAGTTCTTTTTTCTTTCTAACACCCCCTACCGAGCTCTTTTTCTCTTTTTCCTTTTCTCGATACATGGTCCCGAGGCTTTGGTAACTCCAGCAGAGGTAAAGGAAGAGAAGAACGTAGAATAGCAAGAATATACTAAGGGTATGCCGATTATAATCAGAAAATCTGTTGTTAACTTTTCGTATTTTCCTTCTCTTTTTATTTATTTGATCGGAACAGATTTTATAAATTTTTTTCATTACCTATATAACAGTTTTCATTTACCTCACACATATAGAATATATTTAAATTAATATAATAATATTAAGAATCGATATCAGAAAATCAATCTTCTTAAGATTTAAATTATTTTGTTGAATATTAAACGTTAATGCATCATATTATTATTATCTATTTTGAATTGCTTCATTTCAATGTAATAAAAGAAAGTATCTATTTATATATTCACACATATACACAGAAGCACACGCGCATCATAACATATATATATGTAAGGGTGAGAGAAGGACGAAGAGTGCTGCAAGTGTATGGTGTACATGAAAACAATTGATGAATGTGAAAGATTTGTAAGAACACGCAGCGATATGGATATAAGTGTCAGTGCACGCAGCGATATGAGTATGAGGGTGAGTACGTGTAGCGGTAAGAATGCGAGTGTGTGTGTGAAATCTCTCGAATATTCCCGAACCGGAAATAAGGAAGAAGTCTTTTGTTTGATCGGTTGGCAATAGTCTGGAGATTTCGAGAATGATTAACGGAAGTGATTGGGACCATTGGTGGGGTAAAAGAATATATAAACGCGGCGAAAAAGGCGATCTTCGCCTTCTTGATTCGGTGTGACTAATGTGTATTATACGAGTGTTTTCTAATTATTATTACTTACTTTTTCTTTCCGATTCTTATCTCAAACCTTAATATTTAAGTATTTCTTATATTATAATAAACATTTTTCTTATTTTAATTCAATAAATCTTACATATATATACAAAATAATTAACCTAAATGCGTAATCAAATTATTAAATTACCCTTGGCCGTAGGAACGGGAAAATTTGTATAATATAATTTAACACGATGTATGAGTGATGAGTGATAAAATTAGTGATGTTTATCACATCATTCTTAATATTATTATATTAATTTAAACACCTTTTCGTGCAGAGTGTACAGAAGCCAACTCAGCATCTTACGATGGTAGAGAAAATGGATGTGGTATCAGTGGAGGGTGAGACTGGTGTCAAAACTTCTGCCCCTTCCGCAAGGAAAAAGCGACCGGGAAGGGCGTCAAAACAACGATCCTCTGACGCTTATCGGTTTAAGATTGGATCTCGTCAGCATAATGAGAACCGCGAGCGAAAGCTTAGGTCTCTTGGTGTGCTCGATGATTCCTGTCTCGAGCTTGAAAGATCTTTGAAACAGATGGCTGTTACCGTGCACAAGCGCGCGATTCCACTGCCCGTGGCAACACGAGGAGTTGGTTTCTGTGCCGCCGTTGAGTATGGACGGATGATAACTACTTGGAATTTACATGCTATACGAAAGATTTGTACCATCCATCAGTACTACCGAGTGTCTTTGTACTTGGCGTACTTCAAGATGTTTCAGGCCCGCTATGGACAGAATGATATGCCAACTTTTGCTGTTGGTGTACCATTCACATTGTCCGAGGAACTTCGTCAAGTCCTCGTTACTGTAACTCAAGTGCCTGTCACTACGGCCAACTTGCTTTCATCGATTGGTCGCATCGAGGCATCTGTGGTCTTCCATTCGTTGCCTGTTCAGGTGGATTTGGCTAATGCAGAAGAGTGTGCCACCTACATCTATCCAACAAATGTTCGCCAGAGCCTTGAACTTTTGGCGAATCCTGAGTCTCCTGCACCCTGGAGGAACGAGTTTCTTCACCGAAACTCAATCCCTGGCTTGCGCCTTGGACCGCCGGCTGATGGAGCTCCTGTCGCCGTTAACATCGACGACGTCTACCCCGTTGGATATACTGTGGCTGATTTGCAGCGTGACGTCTACGCATATTCGAGCTTGTTGACTCGTGTGTCGGGCCGTCTACCGAAGAGTTTTATCTCTACGGTGGAGTGGGGTTCAGTTGGGTCTATGGCAGGTATAACCTGCTTTGATCCTCTGCCTACTCGACTAATCTCGCAGTTTGAACGGGCTCAGCACAGACCACAACCTGGGCCGGCCAGAAAGACGAAGCGGATGGATGGCTGTCCGGATTTGCATCCTCCCGCACCTTTGGACGAATACACCTACGTCGAGGATGTATACGATGGATCGCCCATGGTTTGTGAAGCTTGGTCGTTGGAATCGGGCTCCACTGCTATGGATCTTGCGCTCGGAGTGGCAAGCCATGTGGGGGAACGTGCCGCCTGGCAGACTAGACTGCAAGTGAACGGACGGGCCTTTGCTCACCTTGCGCCGGGTTCAGTCGTATACGCGATGGTTGATGCACCGCGACCTAAGGCATGATGTCACTTGCCGTCAGACAGTCACTTGCCAAAGAGTGATGAGTGATAAAAAGGTTTAAATTAATATAATAATATTAAGAATCGATATCGGAAAATCAATCTTCTTAAGATTTAAATTATTTTGTTGAATATTAAACGTTAATGTATCATATTATTATTATCTATTTTGAATTACTTCATTTCAATGTAATAAAAGAAAGTATCTATTTATATATTCACACATATACACAGAAGCACACGCGAATCATAACATATTTATATATACAAAATAATTAACCTAAATGCGTAACCAAATTATTAAATTACCCTTGGCCGTAGGAACGGGAAAATTTGTATAATATAATTTAACACGATGCATCTCATATTAAATCGTTCAACCCTATCGACGGTTAAAGACTAATCTCGATGACACAGTTCCTGGTGAAAATCATTCTATACATATAACTTGCGTATCAAATTGCACAGATCGATGTTGAAACATTACAGATATACCAAATGTATATCTTTCGTATATGTGTTACCTTTCCAGAGAGGTATCGATAAAAGTATGTAAGAGGAAAAATAAAACAACAAAATTTTTTAAAAAGAGTATGGTTGGGTTGGGGAAGGGGGAAACAAATCCAGAATAGGAAAATCTAAATGCGAGTTTAAATTATTCCTTTGAATCATGTGATTGTCGTCGTTGTGTACAACGAAGAAATAGAAGAAGAAGAAGATAGGGGTGAGGATGAGGATGAGGAGAAGAACGAGGGAAAGGACGATGGCTATCCTACCATACGAGATTAAAGCCGCTTTCGATAGACCACCGAGCGGTAATCAAAGGTGTCAGAC